ATCCAGAGAACTCGTAATTATCATCAGAATATCTCTAAGTGTTCAAGTATCTGAAGAACTCTAAGCTCATTTATTGTATTTAAAATGTAAGTGAGCTACCACGTAAATTCCATATAATGGAAAGATCCTTCTGTGGGATAAATTACTGACTTAAAAGGAGGTGAATTGATTTACACTGTCTCTAAAACTGACTCATCTGGTAGATAAACCCTAATACACAGATTTGTGTTGAAAGGAATATGCTTAATTTTATGTGAATGTGTAATTGGCAATGATTCAGATTTTTCACAAAAACCGAAATCAAATTAACTCAAACCTAGGCACTGCTCTTTCCATCCTTTGCAACTTCTGCCTTCAAAGAATTGGCTCTGAAATTTTATTTTTCCTCTCTGAGGGGTGTGATGGGAATGTGCATTATGCAATTGGTTTCTTTACAGATCACACTCTTATCTCTCACTGGCAACAAGGAAATTATATTTCAGGGTTTATTTTTAATTAAATGCTGTAGCTGAATATTGGGGTTTACAAAGATGCTGACCAAAGACCAGTGTTTTCTGTTGTAGCTTAACCTTTTAAACCAGATTGATTAAAATACATTTTTTTACTGATTAAAATGAACACAGAAACAGTTTAATACAGTAAACTTAAACTGATGCAAGTCCTTTGTGTTCACTAAATATAAGTATACCATGGGTGCTGGTTTTGGTTTATGATTTCCTTTTTACTTCTCAGCAGGCATACAGTTAATAACTGACAAAATACATCCAGCAGAAAAGGTCCTAGGAGTCAGAAGTAGAGAAAGATTTCTCTGGGACATTCTATGACTGAGGGTTCTTGTTTTGTTTTTCAAAATGCCAATTCAGTTCAAGGAGAAAAAAAAAAAAAAAAAAAAAGCTTTTGAGAGAGTAGGTTAAAGGAGAAAACACATTCTAAGGGTTCTCTTAGGTAGAGAAGGACTGATGATCACTCACAGAATAGAATTTTTCCCATCACCTTTGTGGAAATCTTGGTAGATTACTACTACTTTGTGTGCTTGGGCTGAAAAAAACCGAAGCAGTTATGCTAAAAGGTGTTGTTCTCTGATAAATTCACAGAGAAATACTTTAAGTGTGGTAAAAAATAATAGTACTGTGGTGGATTATCTGTAATGACTTCTTCAAGAAAGGGCTTTGAGATTTAGTGACAAAAAATTACTAACTTGCCAAGATGACTGTTCCAATCTATAAAACCAGTTCATAATGGGTTCTTTTCCAGGTGCCGATGAAGTAGGCTGTAATGGGGGTGGGTACCACAATCACGCAGCATCCCTGTAGGAATGGACTTGGAAACTGCTGATGCCCTGATATTCATTGTTCACAACAGTCTTAATTTTTAGGATTTTTGAACTACAGGGGAAACCTCTCCCTTCATCTCTTCTTTCTCATGCAAAGAACTCCATAAACTGAAAGCTGTTTTGAGTATCTTTGGTGCTTTTTCTCTTCAAGGTCATAATCTCTTCTGGTTTTACTGACATACTCCACAAGATTGCAATTAACTAATCTTGTTTTTTGTTCCTGCTGCAATGCATGAGTGCCATTAACCTCAAAATGGTAATTACTGGCCCACCTCAAATGAATAAATTAGGACAAACTAGTTTTGGTACAATAAGAAGAAGCCAAAACTTCTCACAGATCTGAAACCAGTCTTGTAAACTTTGTGTAGGTGACCATGCATTGTGTATATTCATCAGAAGTAAAAAGACAAAAGTACCATGTGTCTTCAGAGTAACTCTAACCTTACTTATATATTAATGATAGTAATGTGGTCTCTTATTCCCAGAACTCTCTATGATGCTTCTAAAATTGCTGAGCCAAATGCATATTAATGCATATTTTTTTTTCAATTTTAAAAGTAAAGAAGCTAGCATAACCGTTCAGTGGCAAGTGTACTTGAAGCCAACAGCCTAGCTATTTCCTTATCATAAAAGTATATGTGAACCCTGATTCAACTTCTATCAAAAGCAAAGTGTTTTAGCATTATTTGTTTATGCCAAGAGGCATCACAGGACTACAAGTTTTTATGATAATCTCTACATTTATTTATGATAAATCTCTACAGATGTGACACCTCAAAAGATCTTAAGAGTTACATAGAATAGAATAGAATAGAATAGAATAGAATAGAATAGAACAGAACAGAACAGAATAGATCATCTAGTCCAACAGCCTGACCAATTAAGGGCTGACCAAAAGTTAAAGCTTGTTAATAAAGGCATTGCCCAAATGCCTCTTAAATGCTGATAAGCTGGGGGCATCGACTACCTCTCTAGGAAGCCTGTTCCAGGGTCTGACCACCCTCTCGGTAAAGAAATGCTTCCTGGTGTCCAGTCTAAACTTCCCCTGGTGCAGTTTTGAACATTCCCACACATCCTATCACTGGATCCCAGGAAGAAAAGCTCAGCACCTCTCTCTCCACTTCTCCTTGGGAAGCTGTAGAGAGCAATGAGCCCACTCCTCAGCCTCCATTGTTCCAAACTAGACAAACCCAAAGTCCTTAGCCACTCCTCATAGGACATTCCTACCAAAATTAGATTTCTGTGGTATATATCCCAGGAATACGATGGGCCTTTCAGTCACGATGCCTAAACAGGTACCATGATATCCTTTGGCTTCTGTGTGAACTGGGTGTCTGGAGTTGACCTATAGAGTAAGATGATATGTGTGTGGGTGGATGCACACATGTGTGTAGATAGATATATTTATGGAAGAGTTCTTAAAGGTCTCGTGAGAAACAGCTTGTTATTTCTAAATACAAAGTTTAAAATTATTTTCTAAATTTGGCCTTGTTAATTAGCCATTTTAACATCACACTAGTTCTCTTCATGGCTCGTTGCCTTTAGGGTATATTGTTTGAAGCATCATTCCCTCTTTCTCTTCTACAACCTTCTCAGCCGGACTGTATAGTCCACGGTGTGCAATGGTGTTGACAGAAAAACCTTCAATGAATCATGAGAGCTTGGGAAGGAATTACAGCACAAGAAAAGATCCAGAGTCCAGTCTGTAAGTTTATTGGGATAATCCCTCAGATTCCATGGAAATAAGCAAAATCCTCCAGAAGTCAAAAGAACAGTGCCAATTTGAACCAATTGAGATTCTGGCTCTTTATTTATAATGAGGGGATAAACTGATGATATGTGGTATTTAGGTTTAATGTACAGGTTCCTAGGGGTAGAAAATAATTTTTTAAGAAGCTAATAGGAAAGTTATCAAGAGATTGAGCTATACATGGATCAAAATTCCTTTCCTTTCCACTGGCGGTTTGAAAAATTATCTATGCTAATGACTTTTGATATAACAGCTATGTTGGGAGAAGAAAAAGAAATTGTTAATGACCCGATTAGAATTCCAGAAACAAAAATGTGCAATTAGTTTTTTGTCACAGTACAAGAAATGTTCAGTCATGCTTAAGCAGACTAACTTGGATGCATGCTTTTTATTAGGCAATGACATGAGCAAAGCTATATCATTTTTCAACAGAAGTATAAGTCCTCCAGTGGAATGGAAGTGCACACATTTGTTGTTTTGTAATATTTCTTAGCATAGTTTTTCATTATGGACTTATGCACTGATGTGGAAAAATCAAGCAGACTTCTTGATTCACGTTAACACTACAGCACTTAATGGAGGGGTAAAATAAATAATTAAATATCGCAACGAATTAGTAGACATGGCAAGAAGGATTTAGGATGTGGTTGGTTTCTTAACCATGTCTTTCTGCTCACCTCCTTCAGGCTTGACTGGTCCATCAGACATCACTTTCCTGAGGGCTAGTTGGCTTTGGTCTTTGTTGTCATTGGCTGGTGGAGGCAGATTGTCAGACTGAGTTCTTTGAATAGGGAGGACTCCTGCTATGCTGTGTCTGTGCTGCTTCCTGGCATGATTAGACTGACCGCTTTTATGTGCTGCTGTGGCAGTGTGGGTGAAATGGAAACCCAGAGTATGTATCCTCAGATGGAACCAGCTTAAATGTTATTCATGCAAACAGAAGTGTTTTTTTCTGTATTTAAATAAGTAGTGTTTTCAAACACCAAAGAGACACCACATGCACAGCATTAAAGAGTATTAAAACTGGCTGTTTCTTTATTAATGATGGTGAAGACAAGGGAAATAATTTCCCCCGTGTTTTTGCATTATACCATGGTAAGTTTATGGCATATCAACAAATCCTGAAGACAAACACAATGATTCCACAGTCAGAGAGTTTTAATTTGCCATCAACTAAACCCTCAACTAGCAATCAGATACCTGTCTGAAGTATACTCTGGAGAGCAATCCTTTTGAATGGAAAAGTTTTAATTTATTCATCTATTCAAAGTTGTCAGATGAAATCTATCTTGACCCTTAATCAATCCATGGCACAAAAAATTACTAGAAAAATTGAACTATGACACCTGACTTAGCTCTCAACTCCCTTTGACTTTGCTAACTTGATAACATTGTTAAAATCTGATGTTAATGCTTTTCTGTGTTTAATGATTTTGCATTTAATGTGTTTAATGTATTAGTCTATTGCTGTTCTGCTCATCGCTAACATGATTTTATCAGAGATATTAAGAAGGTTGCCTATATTTCCTTTCAAAAAAAAATTAGATATTTACAGTCATGTTTCCAAAATAGAAATCTCAGCCATGTAGTTAAAAAACTTTTTTCTTTAACATTAAATCTTCTTTTGTGTATATAGTACTGTCCTTCCTGATTACTATTTATAGATATATCTTATTGTTAATGTGCTCTCGGTACTTGTGTGCAACTTGAAGAGCTGGCAGCTGCATCTCTGCAGGTTTTGATTATTTCAGTGGTAGCTATTTAGTGACATCAAAACAACACCACACAATGGAATTCTCTGTGAGTCATGCACAACCATGGAACATCATGGACCATGAGTGAAGGGACTGATGGAGAAACAGCCAGTTTCACTGCAGTCTATATAAATTAAAATAAATAAATAAATAAAAGACTTCTAAATACAAGAGTATATTGTAATTATATGTATTCACACACAGGCACACAAAGAAAGACATTGAACAGAGTGAGCACAGTGTGCCAAGAACAGAAAAAAAAAATAGCCAAAAAGGGAAGGACAGCAGGGAAAAAGGCAACAGATGAACATTAAGCTGCCATGCTGAGGAATTTATTTGCGTCTTTTACTTGGTTGAAGGCGAAGCTGTTGGACAGCTGCTTCAGCAGCGGCGATGGCTGCCCCAGCGTCTTCAAGGTGAGTTTGAGTGACGCTGGTTTTGCTTTGGCTGCGAGATGGACCGTGAGAGCGTAGATGTCCTTCAGAGGAAGATTTGGAGCTCCCTGGACTGCTGTGGGATTTCTCAATGGTGGGCACCTGCATGTCTACTAAGAAAATGAAGACGCACAACTGTTGCATTTATTTAAAACAAACAAACAATTTCATTTTCCTACTTTTGACTGGCCTTTCTAGCTGCATTCCACAACAAGGAATAAAGATTAAGCTGTACAATGCCATTCAAAGTCTCAGGATATATCATGATTAGGAAACTCTTATGAAGCACCATTTTCCACTTCCCCACTGTTCCCTGGCCCAGGGAATAATTACTTTACTACAGGGTTTCTATCACCTGTGAATTATGCCTCCTGTGCTGGTTCATACTGGTAGAATGACGGGGTAGCCTAAAGACTAATTTGCTTTTCCACTTTCTACTTCTCTAGTATGTAGAGACTAACTAGCATCACTTACACTGGTACTGAATCCTTAACTAATGCAAGCAGTTTTATTCTGATGAATGCTCCGATCAAAACCACAGCCTAACTTACAATAGCTTCTGTACTAACCTCTAATTTCAATATAGACCTTATATACACACCAATCCCTAGGAAAACATTACACAGAGAAATAGAGAGGAGATGGAGCAGTCTTATCACTCTGAGGCTCTCATCTGGATGCTATTTGGGATGGCTTTTGCTTTGATATGACAAGCACTGTGTTTTAAGTGAGCAACTGGGCACTGACTGCTTAGTATAAAAAAAAAAAAAGAGAGAGAAATTTATCAGAACAGGAGACACTGCGATCAATTCTGCTTTTCTAAACACTAGTATAATTCTACTATATCAGCTCCACCAATTTCCAATACAACTGAGATATGCTACAGCCTATTATCATTGACCGGAAATGCATATGCATTATTATAGCATAATTGTTATTCTATAAAATATTAATGTGACATTTCCAGAAGATAAAATGTCATAGAATATTTAAGGAACATGAAAAATAGTAAGCTAAATATGTATTGAATCTGGCCAAGGCTACCAGAAAAATGAAAAGGGCACAGAATCTATAGTAGATGTGCAAAGCACATAGAGCTTGTAAACAGCTGTTTTAAGCACACAATTACTCAGTAAGCTGGCTGGCACTGATCAAAACAAATTAAGCTTTGGCTCCAATGAATTAATCAGACAGATAAATAGGTTTTTAATAAAGGTGTATACAAACTTCATAGCAAACTATTAGAACTTCCACATAGCAAAGGTTTTCCCATCATCTGGGAAAACATTTCATATCTGGTATACCAAGTCATTCCTACCCTTGGAGGGGTCTGGAAAAATTCCATGACTTCTGCTCTTGATGACAGATGGTTTTGGAGATTGCTGGCTACTCTGTCCAGAATGAGATTTCCCGTGATCAATGTTTTCACTCTGTTCCTTCAGAGCATACCACCGAGGAGTGTTGTCAAGCTGCGAGACACTGGATAACTCAATCAATACCTACAAATAAATCAAAGTACAATCCATGGCTTGTATCTGATCTATTAATGATTGCGTACAGCAGAAGAGTCTACAGTTGTGTAACCAGAAGTTGCAATCAAATGTAAGAAGGGTTTAAGGCTGTGTGCTGACAGATTCAGGACTCTGCCCATGCTCTGACCTCACCTGATAAGCTGGCTGTGATCCCAAACCCAGCATAGTGATGTGTCTGAACTAATATGTCTTCTCAACAGGACCTCAGTAAAGACTATGAGCTTAGGCTTAGCTCCATACCAAGATGGTTAGATAGTTCAAAGGGTGGCTTGTGAGCACTAGCTTGAAAGCTAGACTGAAAAGACATCTAGTCATTCTGCCTCCGTAGAGACATATCTTAATACAAGTATCAGGTTGTATTATTTTCTCCTTTTTTTCAGTGTTAGTAAAGGGGCAAATAATTTGATATTTGCTTTTCATAGTGGTTAGACTTGGCAGTGCTAGGTTAACAGTTGGACTTGATGATCTTAAAGGTCTTTTCCAACAAAAACAATTCTATGATTCTATGAGACCGGTGCTTGTTGGTCCTTTTCAAAAATCCACACATACAGAATTTGTAACAAAAAGAAAAGAATAGGATACCTTTGCACTTCACTAAGATAATAGAATTCAATAGGCCATTTAGGCCTCGAAACTTCACTGGAAAAAAAGGGAGATGCAATGGCAATGTGCACCTTGGCTGCACTGCTAACAGGAATTTTGTGAAATTTCTTTTTAAAAATTAAAAATAAAAAAAAAAAAAAGCATTGGCACAAATAAGGACCCTTCTTCCTTTAATGGTCTTGCAGCTGAGAGGGCTGAGAGATGTAAAGAACTAAAGAGTCATCACAGAGTATTGAATGAAGGACAGGACAAAAATAGCCTTGCATTTGGCTCTAAGGTGAGAGGGTTAAAACTGATGTCAGGTAGGGAAGTTTTAGAAGTGCTAGACAAATAAAGTGTGCAATTACCTCAGGGAACAATGTCTTCATCAGTTTATTACAAGACTAGGAAAAAAAGACAGCCTCTTCAAGTTTAGGGATGAGGAAGTCTCTTCACAACTGGTTTTTTCTAGAAGGTTAAAAGCCTTTCCTTTTTTGTTCCAGCTTCATAGGTTGTATATGACCTGGCTTGGTCGTTTGGTTAGGTCTACACTTCATCTGAACAGATTAACTATTTAGCATGCTCCCTCGTGTGGTTTTTGGTCATGGCTTTGGGAATGACTTGGAGGCCAGCCTGGCTGAGGATTGTTGCCAATAGGCAGTATAGATAGGCTAGGGGCTCTGCTTTGTAGAAGAGGTTCACATTCCATGGATGTGAACCTTGATGTGCCACTCGCCATCTGGGGCACACAAGTGGTGCTGGCCCTCTTCAACCAAGTCCTTAGGGCACAATTTGAATATTCCATGTTTGATGTTATGGTGCAGGATTCCTCTGGACATCTTGCTCCTGAAATACACTGGATACTCTTTTCCATTCCTCTTTTCCATGAAGAACTGCTTTAATATTTAGGTTAGAATAATTTAATAAATAAGATAGTTCTAGATGTTGAAAATATTTGAAGGCAAAAGTTTAAATCTTCCTATAGAAGCAGCTGCTGGAGCATCCATTTTCTAAATGTCATAAATAACAATGATGCAAATATTCCATAAAGCCCTGCATTTGGACAAACATGCAGAACTCAACAAGAATACTGATGCAGTATGCAGGAAATAAGTAATCATGTAGCTGCTTCCTATACATTTATTTTAGTAATTGTTCAAATAGTGGCACTGATTGCTCAGTTTTGTAGTTACACAAAGGGGAACTGGAGCTGAACTGAGTGCCTTTTCTGCAAAATTGAAATGCAGAATGAACGGAGATACTCTGAGTTACTCTGCATATGAGCAATCTATTTTCCTGGGCTTCTGTTTCTAATTATAATCCTCTTTTGTAATAAAATTTTTAATTACTTTTTTGACATCAGAGTTAGTGCTGGTAATTCTGTATTATACATGCATATGTCGGTTTATTTGCTTTTAAAAGAGAGAGCATACTTCTTCCCATGATCACTCATCTCATTTATTATTAGTTACAAGATTTTACCTTCAGTCATACTTTGGTACTGATATTACTAGTCTGTAATGTTAAAAATGAGACCTTGATCAGCAAGACCAAATTACTCACACTTGCAGATACTTGTGCATGTGCTAAATTATGGTTTGATGGAAGGACTTAATCCTTTAATCATTTACAAAGACTGATTCCTCCTCAGCCTTCCCATGTTATGTTAGAGTCAAGGCAGACAGCTTATCAGTCATAACAAGAATTCCCCATTCAGTCACTGTGAAGGCTGTTACTATCTCATGCTCAAAAAAAAAAATCTTAATTTTCAGTGAAGTAACATTGTGTTGAGTCCTAAATGAACTTTCCCACAGTTTATTGAGATAAAAGGAAGGCATTTTTCATGTGTAAATGAAAGAAATCCTGGTAATTTGTTATGAAGTCAGCAGTAAAACTGTGGTGTAAGAGAGGTTTTACTTAACATATGCACCATATCTTCGAAGTGAACAGTCTCCAAATACCAGCATGCAGTATAACTAGACAGGGTTAGAGAGGAGGAAATAAGATACTCACTTCACCAAGGAAGTCATTTGAGGAAAATCGATCATAATCCCAGACAGTCACTTCCAGTGTTTTCTTTTTCAGCTGCAATTTAAGTCAAAGGATAATTAACCCCATTGCCATCATAAACTTCAGATCAAGTCTTTATGGTGGTTTCTATTCAGTATCTCCTCCTGGTACCCTTTTTCATAGCGACAGCTAGGCAGCTTTTGTCCTCCCATCAACCTTGATCTCAGAAAAATAATTTGGGGCTATTATTTGTTATCAAGACAAATGGGCTTGTGCTTGGCCCTTTTTTAGGAATTTCCACAAGCTGTTTTTGACAGAATGTGTGTCCAGTACGAGACCTAAACTGATTTTTAAAGACCCCTTTTCGTATTTCTGCAGCTTTTCTCATCATCAGATCTGAGATGTCTGAACTCAAATATTTGCCTAAAGTGCAGTTGAGTGTGAATTTCAAATGTATTATTCAAAACACTCTATTTACACAATCTCATCTGTGAAGACCAGGTTTTAATCCCCCCCAATTAAGTGCAGTCAATGGGACTCTGCAAGCGATCCAGACACACAGGAAAAATTGCACTCTTAGGTATTAATGACAGCCATCAAACCCCATTATCTGCAGATCTTGTTAAGCATGATAGCTGTGTCAGGCACTCCTCCTACAGGCTACAATAAGAAACCAGTAAGTCTTTTTATATGACAAGATAGCATAAACCGGAGAAGCTGTTGACCAAAGCAGTTGACCTTACTGGAAAGATTGACCTGACTGTCATTCCATCCGTCTGTGGGGACGGGTGGGAAGAGGAATGATTAGCGGTGTTGTATGCTGGGGCAAAAGGCTAGCAGGTGGCTGGAGAGGCACCAATAAATTCCTGTGGCTTGAAAGAAAGAAGGACAAAATTCTGGGGGTATGGGATGTCTGCAAAGTCAGGCTGAGAAGTTGTAAGTGAAGAATTTGTTGGACACTTCTGAGCGCGAGTGAGGAAAAAAGGACTGTTCACATACTTGAATAAAAGAGGTCAGAACCAGAAATCTTGTGTGATAATTGAGATCATCACCCTAACAGAAGCAATGTGTCACTCACTGCTCTGACTATTAATTGGCTGCTTGGGACAAAGGGACAACAAAGGATCAAGTCATTGTTCAAAATCATAAGCTATATCATATTCTGTACATATTATACATACTTTCAAGAAAAGCACTGTTTGGTATTTACCTCTACTGCCCCTTGGTTTAATGCCACACAGATTCAGACAGTTATTAATAACTTTAAATTTCCTTTAAATGATAATTTCATCTCATTATTATGTATTCTGAATATCTTCTGCTCCCAGCCCAGCTAACTTTAGAAAAATGAGCAACTGTGAAGTGAGCCAGTGTCATCAAAAATAAAGTTTAAATCAGCATATCCTGAAAAGCCACATAAAGGGGAATTGTACTATTTTTAGCATCAACAATGTAGAAGCAGGCCAACAACATGACTCGAAAGCTAAGATTAAAATAAAAATAAATATTTGAGAGCAATTCTTTAGTCTTTCTTTGGTTTATTCCTACACAGTTAGGCAATGTTCTTCTTAAACATTCTTTCTAAAAAATTCCTGCAAAAATTAATGAAAAAGTTGAACAAAAAGTTTCTCTTTTGAACATCCCTGACAGAATATTTGTAAAGCTTATTTCCTTGACTGAATAAAATTCCTTTTCTTTGCTGTTCAAGACAGCATCAAAAATGCAACATGAAAAATAACCCAAAAAAACGAGTTGAACAGCCACTGGTCCATGTTGCTTTTGGCTTCCTGGATGATATAATTACTTGCTAGATGTTATACTAAGTTTATGTAGTTTTCCCTTTAAAATAGGAATAGCATAAATGCTTTCTAGAAATTTATTGTCTCAATTGTTGCTCTTTTGGGAGGACATGTCTTCTTGTTTCAAGGGATGCTTGTGCAAGGACAGAGAAGGATGTATAGACCCAGGAAAGGAAAAAAACCCTGAAGATTTGAAGGTTTTTTGGTGGAAAGGGGAAAATAGAGAAGATTTTCAAGTAACTGCAACCCTACTTTGCTAGCTTCTTTGCATTAGTATGATAATAAAACTGTGCTGAAAACTTGCAGTCCTCTACATTTCGAGATACCCATTTTAAGCCTCTTAGTTTAATAAAGCTTTTATAAAATATTATGACAATGAAAAACTGTCAAAAGAGCTTTATTAGGCAGATTGCATGAAATGAGTTTCAAAGAGGAGGAAAATTTGCTTTTCTGAAGATATATTTATGTACCACTACTGAAGGCAAAGAACACTCAATGGCTAGTGATTTTAAAAGCAGCCATTATGCCATCACAGCAACATAGGGTTCTGCCTAACATCATCCAGTTTTAGGTCATGCAGCCAGAAGCTCAGATCTCCATCAGGAATTTAACTGACAGCAATACTGAAATGTATCAATGGGAAAATGAGAAAGTGCCCCTAAAAGAAGGAAAGCATTTTACATATGTTGTGAGCCTTATCTGAGTTCCAAGCCTATTATGAAAAAAAAAGTGTTACTAAGCTGCAACTAATTTCAGGCTTTGCCTTGTGGAAAACTTAAAAATAAAAATAATTAAAAAATAAAAGCCCACCAAAAAGTATATTGCCTATGTAAATGCCAGTTAGCTTTAGGCTGCTGTGGACAACCATCATTTAAAGAAAATGAAGATGCAGAAACAGCCAATATGAATAATATTTTATCTTATGGAAGGCATAACACCACACATACAGAACTGTCTGTTTCTTGTTTTAAATGTCTGGAGATCACTGTGTGTTGTTACGGATAATGAGGGTCTGTATAACTAAATATGCATTACTTGAAATATTTAATATATATTCCTTGAAAATCTCATACAACTCATGACTTAAGGAAAGAATTTTAATGCAGTTTGTTTCTCTCCTATGCTGAAAGTAAATTCCTATAATTACTTCAGAAATAATATAAAAGATTGCAGTCTCAGTCAGGATATTTGATGAGTAGAAATGAAAGTGTTGTATTGGATCATGCATTATATTTATTTGTGTTTACATTCATATTGAGTATTTTATTGTACTCTTCTCTATATTGCTGTACTTCAGTACGTGAGAGATCAAAAAAACTTTTGCTAGGTCACTTAGAAACTTACTTTTTGTTGTCCAAGATATTAAGTAAGATTTAGGTACCAACAACTTGCTGATTCATAAGGAAGCTTTTCTTACATTTGGAAAGAAGACATAGATTTCTACATCACTCAAGGATTTTGAAAATATTACTCTTTTTAAATATATTACCTTCAATTTAAGGACATGAGCTATAGCAAAAGCTATTTGCTTTAATGAATTATATCCATTGTTTAAGGAAATACTTTTCTCTGCTTTCTGACAGGTAAGAAATTGAGGCAAACAAAGCCACACCTTATATTGTGGTCCTATGTTATACCAACAGCCTAACCAGCAACAGAACTTACATCTTTTACCATCTTCTCCTTTAAATCATTCTAACGCTTTCTTTCATGCTCTGAATAGGTATTTGACTTGAGTTAGCAATTATGATACAATATCTGTAGTGTGTGTACTAGGCTTTCCTCTCAAGCTGTAATTATTTCCACTTTATTACTTAACAAAAAACTTAAATTACTAAATATTCAGTTTAATTTATTTTTTTCTCCAACTGTCAAAGTAGAACTTGCTACGTGATAAAACTAATCATTCTGACCTTGAAAAAGTCTGTTTCATTTCAAAGAGTGATCTATTTCCTATAATTATTTTCACTTTAATTTCAGCTAGGTTATGAAAGAGAAAAGGAAAATGAAAAATTCTACAACCAGCTAAAGTCTAGACAGTGACGTTAAAAGGACTATATTAGGAAATATTTAATAATACTTATTTGCTGTCAGCAAGCAACCCGTGCTTTGATGGAGGGAAAGGAAATGCTTCTTTGGAAAAATAATATTTATAAAGATTCATTAATTTATGTTCGGATATGACTGCTAACTCTGCATAACTTAGTGTATGATGCAGTTTTGCTTGTTTGTTGATCAGAACACTCATTCTTCTCTTCATATTCCTAATTATTTTGAAATATCCATTTGTGAGGGTTACAAGTGCAAACAATATGCTCTTTCATGGTAATAGTTCTTTAAACTGTAGAGGGCACTTATTATCATCATAGAATTATTTGGTGATTTAGAAGCGTGCTTTACTGCATATTCTCTAAGTCAAGGCACTGAATTTTATGGGAGAAGAATCACTCACATTGGTATCTTACCAGGTACAAGCCATGGAAAACTGCGGAAGGAAACACTACACCCTGTACACACTTCTGTGTGACAAGAGGACAAAATATACAACATGTGTGATGCTCAGACAAAGCTTACACACTTATAAGTACTGCGTAACAGTCTCAGAGAAAGGGAAAAGGAGGAGATTTGCGAATAGAAAGCAAAGGCTCAAAGAATTCAATATGTAACCTAAAGGCAAATTTCATCAAATAATGGTCAAAAAATTGACACCAAAGATATTAGGAGATTTTCCGTCATAAAAATCTCTGCCCAAGAAATCCTAGACTAAGTTCACTATCCAATTTAAAATCACCAAAAAGCCATTGAATGTCCAACACCCAAGCACTCTTCATTACACTGTGAAATGTCACAGCAGAAGCTGAAAGCAAATTAAGTAAACTGAAGAGCCTTTCTCAAATGCAAAGCTCAGTTTGGAAATATTGCTAAGACTTGCCAAACCTTTTCACAAAACCCATAAGACCTAGGGTTTGCAAACATCACAGTTGGTTTTTTTTCCTGATGTGTGCACTGTCAGTGAGTTTCCATTTGTGCAAGCCTATGGAAACAGCATGCAAAACCCACCAAACCATAATCATTACATACAATATGGTACCTCTGAAGTAAATCTGAGCTACTGCCTGATGTGTAGATGTGTGGATTACATGAGCAACCATGTAAGCCCCTCTGTGGGAAGGGTTTTGCTCCATGCAAAAATGAGTACCTTAATCTATGTTCCTCTCAATGAACAAGAAGAATGAATAACCAAATTTTAAGTTAGGACAATAATATTGAGGTCTTGGTGTCATGTTGGAGAAGTATATTAAAAGCATTGGGAAATCTATTCACTAAAAAGTCTGATTATTCTGGGCTTTTTAAAGAAGTACTTGAAAAATGAAGTCAAAAGTATCATGAACAAAACACTAAGAAAGGCAAACAGACTTAGGACTGTGTACAAATCCATTATTCTATAAAATATACTTCATAATTTAAAAAAATGAACTGATCATAATTTTGCTCATTATGCCTTTTTCAAATGGTAAAAAGTCCCTTAAAAGGGGAGATAAACAAAAAGGAGTCAATTGCTTCATACTGTACATCAGTTAGAGACAGAAACCAAGAAACAGATAAGACTTCCACAGACCGCTTTCCCAGATGTGAGTTAAATCTGTCTATAAAAAGGAAATTAAATATCTTCTGATTTTTTTCAGGTGATTCATATTTTGAGCCCATTGGTGTACATTGCTGCTAAATCTAAAAATGTATCTCTACATTTTATAATTATTTTTGAATAAGAAAAAAGTAGGACCTGTGGTTTTTGTGAGCTTGCATGGCTTTTGGAACAAAGAGTGACAGTGATTTCTGCATCTACTTCAGAAACTTATGTCTTAATTTATTCCCTCCCTGTATTCCGTTATCATTTTTTAAATTGCCACATCTGTACTTATGACATGATTATGAGTGTAATCCCCACAAATTACCATTTTTATGAGTAGAAGGGACAAGAAATGGGTATTGATATAGTAAGCTCTATCAGAGGCAAGGAAATACTTCCAAATTTCCCCTACATTTGGCAAGATTTTACAGGGGTTCACAGAATTGCCAGTAGCACTGCTCCCTTCACAGTAAGCACTGCAGACCATACAAATAATAAAGCAGTAGATTGCACTGAACAGTACTACCAGTCACGCACCTGCTCCATGGAGATATTTTTATAAATCACTGTCTGATTCCACTCAGGATTCAAGCTTTTCTGTATGTACTTAGTTCTCCGCTTGTACTCAGCACTGAATTTGAACAAAGGAAGGAAACATTACATTAGTGATCTTTTGTTTCTTTCAATTCTAATGCAAAAAACCCACCCACAAACAAAAAAAAAAAAAAAAAACAAAACAGAAAAAGAAAAGAACTGCATCACATGGAACTGCAATAGCTCAGGGTTACAAGAGGACAACGACAGCCTTTGGGTTTTTTCATTAGTGTGCTTTCCTGACATGGTGTTTTAAAACATCTTCTTCAGACTCTTCAGCCACCTAGCTCTGCCTACAACTGTTTCAACATAAAGCATCAGTCAGCACATGCACATATGCTTTGTTCTCTCATTGTAGGTGTTGGGTTCTGATTATAAATTGAAGTAATAATGCATTGATTTCTTTTCCAAGACCATCCTCCTATTAGCACTTTAAAGTAGCATGAATCCATTATATTTATAGGTTACAGTCTCTAATTACGGGAGTCCCATCTCACAAGAACATTTAATGAATGCCATGGGGTAACTGATATCCTGTTAATGATAGAAACACTAATTTCTTATTGATCCTATTCTCTGCCTATAACTCTAACTGTACTGCAAACATCAAAGTGCAGCAAGCTCATGAATGTTTTTGTCAATAGCCAAGAGTGAAAAGTTTGGCTGCATAATCTGTTTTTAAAAAGAATCGGTAGTGCTTTCTATTGTACTTGCATTTCCTGAGTAGGGAGAAAACAGTACACTAATCTTTAACAGAATATGGATTCATCTAGCTCTGTGAGCTTTGATGTCAGATTGGCTTCCATTCCAATTTTAATTTAATATAAATTTTAATGGACATCTCAAAAAAGCTGGGTAGGAGAATATGAGAAGCTTTTAATACTTTGAAAACCCAACAAAATATAAGGTAAAGAACCTCTTTTTGCCACACTGCAAGTTAACTGTCCTTTGTCTTCTGCTCAAACCTCCCATACATTAAAGGACTTACAAGCTCTATCTAAGTACTAAATTAAATGTCTCCAGGACTGTTATCCAGCACGAACGCCAAATGGCACAGAATGACCTGTATCTGTCCTATTAAACTCTCTTACGGTTCCTCCACATTAATTTTTGGTAGTGTGCTGTTCTGCTGATTCTCCCTTCTGACTTCTGATTGAATTGTGTTTTGGTTCACACTGAGGCATGGTCTCAGAGCTAATGAACTAGATTCCTTTCATATGAGATTAACTCAGAAGATGCGCTCCAGGGGCTCATTTAATCAGCTAGTCACTAATGGTGTACGATGCATGGAACCAGATTGGAGCATATCTGAATTAACGTTACGTGAAAGACGCATGTATTTTACTGACACATATATGTCAATGTTGGGTCTTCAGCATCAGCAGTTTCACTCTACAAACTCAATTCTACTGTGCAGTGCTCCCCTCTAATTATTCTGGAGTGTCTAATGGCCTTATTATCTAGAATTATGCCTGGCTTTAATGCCTGTACACTGTGCAAGGTGTAGAGAGAAAAATGTTCCATTTCATTTCAAAAGAGTGCCTATTTCTCTTGGCAGTAACACCATTCAAAATCTTGATACTAGTTTGCAGTTAATTATTTTGCAAATTTCAGTGAATGAGAATGAATTTTTAGATATCTCTGAACTAAATTCTTCCAGACTTTAAAATAAATTTTGTTTGCAATCAGAATTTGGCCCTAGAATATTACTGCATCGTGGAGCATCAATTACTGATTTCCAGTTCCTTCTGACCTGGAAATGGGATTCATTAGAGAATGAACAAGAAAACCGTGCTGCAAGCACGTGCCATCAAAACTCAAGAGAAATCTAGAGTTCAATGACCAGGCTTATCATACCATGCATGCATACAAAAATGAAAGAGAGTACACTCTACCTTGCATTTTGGACAACCATGACTTGTCTGCATACCCAGCATTTATAGAGTTAGGAACACAGAGGAAGCGGTATGAGAGAAAATGAGAACAGAGATGAAAGAATGTGAATAATAGGTAGTTTCTAGTATCAGAATCAAAGGAAAGAGCAGCATTAGGAAGAATAAGAAGTCTAGTATGGACTGAATTACAGATAAAAGATATTCAGTAACAATTCAGGTTTCTGCTTTCAGAAACCAGTTTGGCACTTTTGAGCAGCTTTTCATTTTCATTATTCCCTAAAACCCCAAGTTATATGCAAAATGGTAACATTGCCATGCTTTAAAATAATGAAACCAAACAAAATTAAAATCCAAATTCTTTATAACTTGGCAGCAAGTTTAAACCTATACTTAGATCTGGCTTAGACCTCTGCAGGATGAACATCTCTCTAGTTCAAAGTCTTATTTCTACATCAGTGAATGTACCTCCAAAATTCCCAGTAAGATTGATTTGACAAGTATTTTACAAGACTCTTAGGTGCATTAAAACCTCCCTCAAGATTTAGGACCTGTTCCCATTATATTCAGTAATAGTTTTGGGCCCACTGCCACTGAGCAATATTGAATGCTGTATAGCTGGAATTAGCAAGTTACAAAAGAATACGCATGCCTTTAGTGGTACCATTCCTGTGCTTTTAGCTGTGCTTGCCCATATGCCAAATGCTGACCTGTGAGTTGAGCATCCACTTTCCTGTTACTTTGAATAGAACAGAAATACAGAATTTTAGTTGCATGCTGCTAGCCTAAGAGTCTTTTAGTATGAGTGTGATTACACAAGCAAAGAAGTTTGCAGGACTTTGTCTTTGCAATCTAAGCTCCGATCCATCAGCTTAGCTTTAGATATTGTCAGTGATGTCAGCAGGATTATTATAACTATGTACATTTATGCATACCTATGACATTCTGCATCTTTAGGGCACAAAAAAGAGTTATCATATTGCTGATACAGAAACATACCTTTTAAAGGAAACATTAATGACTTATTTGTAATTACAGAGTCTAAAAAAGCAATGCTCTGTGAGAAAGTGATTAGCAATTTGTATAGTCATTAGATACAAAATTACAGAATTTCTAAACCCACATCTTAGCTCTTAAAGAAAAAAGCCATAAAAAAAAAAAAATCACATGGAATGAATGTTTTCTCTAAAGTATTTCTCACCTTTGATATTATACTGCAAGCTTAAATTTATCTCAGATACTGTAAGTCTGCATGTTTGCAAATCTGTCCCAAATTCAGATTGTCTTGAGCTGAAGCAACAATTCCATTTTAACCTTAACATGCAGCTACAGAAAGTAGTACATATATTTAGGACATTTCGGTAGAGTTTGTTCTACTTTTAATACATATTTTTGCATATATTAGAAATTTTAAATGGAAACATAAAAAAAAATCTACAGGAATGATAGTGAAGTCTAGAGGTCATTAGCAAAGGATGCACATTCTCCTGGGAATAGGATCTGGCTCTATTAAAAATCCACCATTTTTCCTTGTGTTGTACCTGGATTTTCTATAGCAGTAACTCTCAGTTCTGTTTGTTAGGGACAAGTTACAAACCCAAATTAAAAGAAAGTTCAGATTAAGATTTCTCCTCCACTTACCCTCTCCCTGGAAGAAGATAAACTTTAACGAAGGGGTCAGAATAGCCATTGTTGTCTCTGGGCGCAAGGTTTCTTGCCTGAAGGATGTGGATGATAAGGTTGCCAAGGTGTTTGTCATAGTTGATTTGAAGCTAGAGAATGCATTAAAACGCAGTAAAATTATTTGTTATTTTTACTTCCTAAATGATTCAATACCTCTCCAAAATCCTTTGACTAAAATGAGTTTTAGACGTTTACTTTGGCTGGAAATAAACACATTTTAGAAGTTTCTGCCTCTCTCTCCTGACTAGAATGAGTATGCTGGATCTTGAAACAAATTTTGCTTTCAAAGTCTGTCAGTACTGGTTAAAAAAAAAAAAAAAGAATTTATCTATTCCAGTCAGGAAAAAGTAGATTAAATATGAACCCTTGATATTATTCTGAGTGATAGCCAGTTTATTGGGTAGGAATTACACAAATTCTGACTACCTGGAGCCCAAGGTCGGGAAGGATGTTATAATACTATGGAAAGACCCTTAGTACTAGTACAGGAGAGAGGGATAAATTAAGAAAACAAAAGACAGCAATGTACAGGAAACAGGGCTTCATTTATTTTGCTGCTCCCAGTTCCACTGTTTTAAAAAACTAGAGTAAAGTCAGTTTACATAAGAGAGAACCACTATCTTGGTTGGCATCACATGGAAATGAATCCACTGCACTATGAGAAACCCATAGCAGTCTTTGCTTAAATTTAGAGATTCTGGGAATTTCTGAAGTAAACCACAATAAGTGCTCAAAGATTAAAGATTAGAATGATTTTAACTACATTTTTAGCCCCTTCAGGAACAGCAGCATTTCCTGTGTTGTTTGAGTTTCACAAGCTAACATTAAAGACAGAATTGAAAATCTAGCACTGACGTACATTAATGACATTTCAAGGGATTGCAGTTGAATAAGAAATCAGTTAATGGAGAGCTGGTTTTCTGCAAACTTATTCATCAGAAAAATGCAGCAAATAGCAACAACTACGTATTTACAACAGAGCAAAAACTATGTATTTACCTGAATTTCTCCAGTGATTGGATGGGAAGCAGATTTTGTAGTTTCAGTGGGCTGCAGATTAAAATACATAAATAAGTACATAGGTACACACTCACAAATATATTCATATGCATATTGGAAATAATAGATTTTCAAAGTTAACTTTTTCAACAGGTGTTGTTTATATTGTTCTATTGCCACATATTTTTAAAAAATATTTAATTGTTTCCAATATGTATGCTCAAAAGTAATAGTTATGGTATTTCATCAGCACTTAGAGTCCAGCCCAGCCATTTTAATCCAGCTTCACACAAGTGCAGAATCAGACAACTTGAACACCAAAGTCTTTACAGTCTGGGCAGATCGGTCACACAGGGAGGTGCGGGGAGAACAAGACATATAGCACTAACCTTGTCTAACAAAAGTGAATGTTGCAAAGAGAAACCAAATACCATGTCAAGCACAACACAGCCATATTTCTATTGAAAGGTGAAGGTTACACTAGTTTAAATTGAGTTAAAATGAAAGTGGGGAGAAGGAATGGAAAGAATGGTATGAAAACTGAGTGATGTGTGTGGATTTCACAATTGCAAGCCATCCCATATAATATTTTTTTCTTTATTCTGTGTTTTCTGATAATCAATTCAGCTACACCATTTCATCTTCAAATTCCTCCACACACTTTCCATGACATGGAATTTTAATTTTCTGTCCTCCCTTTCACGACGCTGTATAATCTTGCCTGTTCCTCTCTATTCTCTATCACTGAGCTTCTCTAGGTTGCTGACAAAAGCAGTAAAATCCTCAGTGTCTTTTTTCCCCCCTTTACTTCCCTCCTGTTTGTTAGTAGATGGAAAATAATATCACCATTTGCTTCAAATCCTGGAGTCTCAAAAATAGGCTGTTCTGTTAAACTGTAGTGCCCTTGAGCCACCCTGGACCTACCTCTAATCTGCAAGCCATCAGTCAAGCAAGAAAGCCCTCTCTGGTTCAGTAAAAGGGTTTGAATATTTTTGTATTCTCTCCATATCTGCTTCCTCGGTTGATGCAGCAGAAAACAAAGGATGAAAACAAGGACAAACTTACTGTTCTCTGAAGACTGACCTGGAAGTCATCTTTTCCTATTTTTCCAGATGTGACCAGCAGCCTGACATATTATTCTGTGTAATTAGGATTTCTTTCACTTTCTGAGAAGAGTAAACCCCATCTGCCTCTTTTGTGCTGCCCTAGCCTCCAAAAAACCCTTAGAGATTTTCTCAGGATGAAAATGAATTGTTTTAGCTTGTCTCCCGCACCAGAGCATGAAGTTAAAGTGATGTACTACCCTATTCAGGTTTGCGATAAAGAAACATCCCCTCACTCAGATCTGCAGACCACAACTAACCAGAAAAATCCCAGCCAAACACTAGCACAACAAAAAACAAGGGAGAAAACTAGCCCAAACATGCCTGTTTTATAGTTATATTTACTGCCTTCTGTTGTCTTATTTTTGGTTGCTTTACATGCTTTATCTTACATTCTAGATGTGTTTCTTTATGAACAAAAACTTTTTCAGAAAAAAAAATGTTGATTTTTCTGGAAATGCATATGCCTCTCAAAAATAATTTTGGTAGAAAATTTTTAGATCAGCTTTTCTTGGTACCTTACAAAGCTTTTAAAGAAGAGTAATCCCTCTAACAGCTAAAATTGGTCATCAGTAGTTTGTAAAATGCTCTGAATCTTAAATGACATTTTAGACTGATGGCAAACTACTACAACCTGTTTGGTCCTTGAAAGAATATTCAAAGACAGAATTTCACTCCTTTTGCCAAAGACAGAAATCTACCTGAGTATCATGCAAACTTTCAAAGTAGGGCTTAAATGGTTTACATTTCTCATACTTTACCTCTACGAATGGATTTTATTATACTTTAATAGTTCTGACCTCAATCAGTACTACAAAATAACATGGAATTAGCTGTGCTGCGGCTACAAAATCACTGTCAGATATTCTAAATGTTCTATTTTTTCAGAAGTTTGAATAGCAAAAATAATGAGCTTGTTCACCCTAAATATCACGTAATACAGAATGTATTAGCAGTGATGCTGTAGAAGGAGTCCAGAGAAAGGGGACTGGGCTTGCTGAATTTGTTTGGGGACTTCCAAACCTGGGTAAAGTGAAGTTTCCTTTACCTGTGCAGTTACTTTACTTTCATCTACTTGTCTGTAAAAATGAATGTGCGTTTTAAAGTTTCTATATGTCATCAAATCTCTGTTTTCATTTACAAGGCTGTGATTCAGCATATTAAATATTTTGTTTTCTCTCTGATGTCAGCTAATTTAAAACTGACCATGAAGAACTACCCAAATATTTCAAAGAAATATGAATAATTTAGGCTGAAAGAGATCTCTCAAGGTCATCTGATCCAATCGCCAGCTCAGAGCTGGGCCAACTTTGAAGTTGGATCTGGACTGAAAGGCAGAGATGCATTTGCATCTAAAAGTATCTTTCTTTATCAGGGCCTCAGTGAGGATTAATTTGAAAAGAAGGAAAAGCATTTCACTGCTGACTTCTCTAGGAGCTAACAGATCTGAGGATTTAGAGAAACAACCTATTCTTCAAGATTCAAAGACAATTAAATATTTCTATTGGGCCTTTATTCCTTGATGTAATCTGCACCAGAGAATGATCATGCATTTACATTACAAAAGAAACAGATCTGCACAGGATATAAGCAGCTCAAGGCTCCCAAAGGTTAAATCTCTCCTGTGATGGCTAATCTAATTTCACTCTAATTTCTTTTGATACTCCCTGCACACACTCACACATCCTATGTAAGAGCCAGTGCTTTGTAATGCCATCACACCTGCTGGAGAAGGTTGTCATTACCATGATGTCAAACTTGTTAAAGCCAGGCTCCGATGCTATACACTATCACTCTCTGAATTAATGGGGCAAAACATTAAATATGAGAAAATGGGCACCAAAGAATATCAAAAAAACTCCTACAACAGTTCTGGAGTGTATATTCTATACAAAAAAGCTTAAAAAAAAAAAGAAAAAAAAAGAAGAAGATTTTACTTGCTATAAATAAGAACAGTTGCAAACTCAACTGTTTGGGGTCTGGATATTTTGTCTGTCATGATACTTTGGCAAGGCTGCAGCCTGCCTAGAAATGCTGTCAGCCCAAGGCAAAGAGCCATTCCAGAAAGGATGAGCAGTAGCTTTTTCTAACAGAGTCAACACCATTATAAACTTGGCCTGCAGTCAATGAACAGAAACTATACAAGTCAACAAGAGCTACGGTTGTTATGAAAGAAATGCATCGCAATATGATTTTCAGAAATAGGCAAAGAATGTTTTAATATTTACCTGATTAGTTTTGACTTTTGCATCCCCTACATAAAGGCATTAGTTTTAATAATTTTTTGTTTCATCTTTATAAGCCTCCAGCTGAATTTTCATAAAAGATTACTAAATCTTCTGTGAAGCAGGAAATGAAATTTATGCATCTAACTTGAGGTGACCTGCTACAGTGCCAAAGCTGGGAACCCAGTCTTCTCATGCGGACCGAGAGAGGCGCCTCTCTAGGATACAATGCACATCAGGGATTTATGGATCTCCATATACTATGCAGCCAATTTAGGAGTGAAATTCATCTAATCAAATGAAAGGGGTTTCAGTGTAGATAGTGACATCTGCACTAAGAGTCCTGCCCCCTCCTCTCCATGCAGTGCATGGACTTCAGGTTTCATCCAGTCTCATGAATTGCACTTCAGAAGTGTATTATTCTCGCTGGTAAACACAAATCACATGACAAACTAGGTCATATGTAGATGTTTACAATATCCAGAGTAAGGTGTAATGAAACCAACTATTAACGTGTTGATTAGGCAATTCTGCCAGATACCTGAAGTTAGGTGCAGTAAATCTTGACATACGGATTTAACTTGTGAATCATAGACCTGAATTCGTTCATAAAAAATCTATGGAAATTATGGCAAGACAGAATTACTACCCAAAAAAACCTGGTCAATAAATATATTTATAGGTTGTGCTAAATTGCTGGATGAAAGAGATTTTTGTATTTCCTCTCACATGAAAGTTATATAGGTGTGTCAAAGAGCCACATGAGATGAGCAGACACCGTTTGCTGGTTTTTGTTTGTACAGTACCTAATGCATTTGTAGTTGAAATCACAGTCGTAGCTTCAACAGCACAAAAATACAAACATAACACTAATGCAGTAGGAACCTGACAGTCCCAAGAAGGAATAAAGAAGCAGAGAAATAAATATCTAGAAAGCACCTTGTTTGCAATGTGAAGCTTTGCTTCCAATAGTAAGACAGTGAGAAGCTGAGTATTCAGGATAGCAATCAGCTTTAGCTATCTTGCAAATTGCTTAAGTAAATGCAGTTTTCACAGGACTGATTTTCAGTTAAGGTGTTGAATTTTTTGACAAAAAAATGCAAAAATGTGACAGATGACTTTATGATCTAGTTTTCAGTTTCAACTGTGAAAAAATGCTACTAAATCCCCACTCTGCCCTTTCCTGGTGTGCAGGTGGGTGCACAAGGAGAAAGTTCAGCTGAGAAATGGACAGGATATGGCAAAAAAAATGAGAAATTATGCTTAACAAATTCACAGGAATTAGATAGTGACCAAACACATTTTGATGGTAAATTTATTTTTCATTTTTTCCCTGGCTATCAGAGAAATGCCTAATATTGCTATGATTATTCACAGCTTGTAACACTTCAAACAGTAGCTTAGTACAGAGAGGGAAATTATGGTCTTAGTAATATCGGCTTCTTCTGTGCAACTAGTACCTCACCATCATGTAGGATGCACTTAAAAAGTATCAACAATGAAGAATGAAAAGGCCAGTTATTTTATTTAAAAACAATAATATTAAGCTTGAGAAATCTATTTTCAGAGGGGGACCAATCTTCTATGACCTTGGATAAATCGCATAATCTCCTTTCCTTGTGTCCAAATTCTACATGTTAACGGTAATACTCATCACTGTCACGGAAATGAATTCATCAATATGTGCTGTGATTTCTTGCTACACTAAAGAAGATAAATAAATAGGCAGTTTCTTCTTGTCATCAACATGTTATTGCCTCATAACTGAGAAGATTCTCACCTTGCTGCTGTGACGCTTTTTGCTCACTGAGGGAGAACCAGGCTGACCAGGGCTGGGAACAGCGCTGGAGGTGGCAGAAGTGGTTCCAGAATGAACATGAGATCCCTTTTCCACTCCTGAGGAAGCAACCAGAGGCGACTGCTGTAGAGAAACCTTCTGGAGCTCTGCAGCCAGCTGCTTGGGATCAACCCCTGGGGACTTCGCTTTATCTACTGGATTAAAGTAAGAGAGCTTTGTATTGGTAATTGCTAGCACATTCAAATCCATCTCATCATGGTACAGGGACAGGATAATGACCTTAACAAATATTCCTGTCATTCGCTTGTATGTTTCAAAGACACAAAAGCCAACCTATAGAAAACAGATGTCTCCCTCACAACATCAACATCCCAATTCCAACCTTTCTGCTCAACATGCTGTCAACTAGTGTTACTTGTCTCACAAGCTTTCTGAGGTTACTGTCTAGCTGACGAAAAATAGACCTTGCTGATCATGCTGAATCATACTGGAGCAAATTGCAGTTTTAAAAATCAGACACTACTAACTTGCACTGTTTGGAACTGGTTCAGTTTTGCCAAGTATCTGAACTTCGTTGTAATAAGCTTTAATCTCAACTTTTTTTTTTTTTTTTTTTTAATCAACAGGACATTAAATAAAACTGAATTCTGCTCCTGAGATAATTTATGCAAAAATAAAGAGAAAAGGAGCTCAAATCTTTAGCACCACAAATTAATCAAAGCAGAATAAAATGAAAACAAATGAGGAGTAAAAGCCCTGATTCATCTTTCCTTATTACGCACACCTATGTGAGGCATCTGTGGTAGGAGTCCAACTGCCCTCCCTGCCCTCCCAATGCACGGGGAGAATTTACGCTTTGTAGATGGCAATCCCCATTTAACAGACAAATGAGGTCAAGTAATTTTTATATGTGCCTTAAAGTGCATAGAGTTAAAAGGATAAGCTCAGCTTACTTCCCAGATTCTCAGAAGTATGAGAGGTTTAAGGCAATGTGTTAGCCTTATCCTGCCTGCTAGGCTGTATTTGGGTTTAATTTCTAGAGGGAATGGAGATTATTCCCTTCCAAAGCACAAACATTCTGTAAAACCTCAGAGGTGATGGCAAGAAGGACTTGGCTTGGGAGCAGAAGGGACTCTGCAGAGTTGTTCCAACTCAGAAACCACTAAAAGATTGCTAGACTAGGAGGAAGCATGCCTGAAAGAAAGGGCGAATTTACTTTTATTTCTGTTTTTTCTCATTTTGAGTTTTGTCCATTAATAAAAAATATCCTTTATTCTATCTTCTATCCTTCCAAACCCCAATTTCAGTGTCTGTGAATGCCTTGGGTGTTTTTGATATGCTCACTAAGAAAAAAATTGTGGGTAATTCTGCCTCAATGCTCCGTTCACTTTCAATTTATATAAATAACATCCACTTTCAACAAAAGGTAGCTTGATGGTAAGTATATTAATAGATGCAAGAAGTTACATGGTCAGAAAATGAAGAATTTAATCCAAGTACCTTGTGTACTGATTGATAAAAAAGCAGCCATGAAACTACAGAACTCAAAATGGACCCACGAGAAGCTTGTTGAAGGGCTGCATTACTAGTAAGATTGTGGATGCTGGTTCAAAGTTAGATTAGATAAAACGAACCTGCAGTCATGGTACTGACTGAACAGAAGGGAATCCCCTCCAAAAGCCCTGCCATATTAGAAGTCACATAACAAAAATTCATACAAAGTTTCATAGAATCATCGAATATCAGGTTGGAAGGGACCTCAAGAATCATCTAGTCCAACCATTCTTGACAAAAGCTCTGTCTAAACAAAAGCACCATCTAGACAAGGTGGCCCAGCACCCCGTCCAGCTGAATTTTAGAAGTGTCCAATGTTGGGGAATCTACCTCTTCCCAGGCAGAGGTTGATTCCAATGGTTGATTGGTCTCATTGTGAAAAATTTTCCTCTTGAGTCCAATCGGAATCTCCTCAGGAGTAACTTGCACCCATTAACCGTGGTCTTTTCCATGTGACTCCTTGTAAAAAGGGAGTCTCTGTCTTCTTTGTAGCCACCCTTTAAGTACTGGAACATGGTGATGAGATCACTCTTAAGCCTTCTTTTCTCAAGGCTGAACAAATCCAATTCTCTCAGCCTTTCCTTATATGGCAGGCTTCCCAGTCCTTTGATCATCCTGGTGGCCCTCCTCTGGACCCTCTCCAGCGTGTCCACTTCTCTTCTGTGTAATGGGTACCAACACTGAACGCAGCAGGGGCCAAAACTGAACACAGAACAAAGTGCTTCTGATTGTATCCCTGTATCCTAGTAAATACTGTATTTTCACCACTAATAACAGGCCACAAGCCTTGTGTTAAGCTAACATAGGCCTTAGGACTTCTTGTCTGTTATTTGGACTTGCTCCAGTTTGCTAGGAGTTTTGTTTTAGCTTGTCCGGCTGCAACAGCAATTGTCTAATGACCAGATGGCTATGACCTTAATTTGTCTGAGTTGCGCTTCACCTTGTATAATTGTGCAGTATAATGTCCACTGTTAATAATCTTGATGTATAAAGGCACAACAGTAATGGCACTGTGTAGACTGAAGTATTTCAGACTCAAGATTAATGATGCAGTTTATAGAAGCACAGGCCTGGCATGACTGCAGGGTGATGCAAGGTTTGGGCACAGGATGATAGCTGAGGCCCCAGGGATACCAGCAACTTGCTGGTCAGTTACTGACACTAATGCAAACTTGGGAACTGGGCAAAATCAATTTTAGGGGCAACAGAAGGAACACAGAACAAGAATATATCACATGTGAAATGTATGATATCTGGTCAAGCCATAAGTAACGAAGAGCTGCTGACTGGTGAGGAAAGAGCAAGGCATGCTAGAAAACATAAAAAAGGGCCCCAAGCAGATCCTGAAGCGAAGAGGAAGGAATCATCAACATCATCCACATCCCAGCAAGGAGGAGTCAAAAGCTCTCACCACAAACATCACACTCCTCCCAGCAAATTCCTCAGGCCGCTGTCGACTTGCTGCACTGGCCCCTGAGTGAGAGCACTGCCCACAGGGCCCGGAGAAGCTGCTGAAGGGGCACATTATGCCACAGTTTTCTGTGGCATATATAGATGAAGGGGTAGCTAGCAGTAGATTTTCCCTAGATAATAAACGTTAGCTGCTGTACTGTTACTGAGAGTTCCCTTGTATTAATTAGATATGTAGACTGTATCAGCATGGATTGAACTAGACTAATAATAATAACCACCAACAATAAAAGCTTGGCTTTGTATATAAGGTGTGGTGCCCTTTCTGCCTATGGCAAGATTTGGGATGTAACACATGAGCTTACAATGCTAATACCCTAGCTTATTTCAAATCCAATTTTCAACTGCTGCCTGGTCCTCCAATATCAAAGCAATAACTTATCACTTACCTGCCTTTACTGGCTCGTGCAGCTCCAGGTGCTGGGGATTCTCAGAGTCCGAGAGCATGTTCAGGTCCCTAAAGAAAGCAATGAGAAGCCTGAGACAAAAGAAACTCTTTCTTCATACCCTCATTATTGTATTAAGTAGATAAATGAATAGTGGTTCATGACAGAAAGCAGCTCCCAAGCATGGCCCCTTCTTAGCTGATACGTATTTGCAATGCTGCTAAAGAGCTGAGAAGAAAAGGTTCTTTTAAGGTGAAATCTTTAATGAGTGAATGCAAGTTTATACGTTTCCTATGATGCTTAAATGACTTTCATCTAAAGGATAAGATTTCAGTAAAAGTTAAGTTAGTGCTAAATTACCATCTTTTTCTAACCCCAGTAAATTCAGTGAATTGTATGTGTATCAATGAGAGGAGACTGTGGCCTGACAATGGAGATATCATTATTTATAAAAGCATAATCCCTAACATCTGCCTCAGCTTATCTTTCCTTATGACTTTAAAAGAAAAAAAAAAAAGAAAAAAGAACAGACCTCCCACACTCACAGTGAACTCTTGCTAATTATTACATTGATGCTTCATGCTAACAAAGGTTCCACCTTAACAACTGTAAATTTAAAAAAAAAAAAAAAGCCATGAAAAGCCAAAAAAAATGGAAACAGAAAGATGGGGAAAAACTCACAGTCTTACACATATTTCTGCTTCCCCACTCTGTTGAATAATAATGCTCTGGACTTCTTCATAAGTTTTCCCAGTCAAGGGGATGCCATTCCATTCCAGCACCTGCATTCCTAAGAAGGCAAAAGAGCAGGAGGTCAAGTGCTCAGATTTCGACAAAGGCATCAGACAGACTGCTTTGACAAGAAGATTTGATGTGAATGTTGTTTAAATGGCACAACATTAGCAAAGACCTTTCAATTCACGCAAATTAGACTGTTGAACGCTACTGTCCCATCAGCTAGAACTTACCTGTTGAAACAAGGCAGGGGATTAATTTCTATCTGATTCAGACTGTACATGCACTCTCTACAGTCTGGTTTTAATGATATTGAAAAACTTTTGCAATATCAAAAACATGCACACCTACCAACATAGCAAGAAACCAAAATATTTTATTTATCAGGCATTTCCTGGCCAGGCATGGTCTTGGAAGATAACTGTTGCCTACAGTGGCACATTGCTGTTAAGAACCTGAGCCTCAAAATGGGACTAAATTTGTGAATGTGATTTGGTAATTCAAATACTTTTTCTCTACTTTTTCACTTAAGAAAATACAACAAGATGAAGGCAGTTGGGCAAACTGACCTTAAATAAAAATTGTACTTCCACATTTCAATTATCAGCCTGGAAATATTCAGGTTTACATTTTTCGTCCATATCTTTTCTAATAAAAAAGTGACAGAACAGATCAACATAATTCATTGTGGAAGATAGGAACAGAGCTATGATAAACAGGCTGAAGAATACTGTATACTGATCTAATCTGTTATGTCTTCCAAGTATCTCAGGACTGAGCCAGGAGACTCGGTATGGAGCAAGGTATTGCTATAAGGAAGTTTTATGCTCAGTTTTTGCAGAGTCAATCCCTCTATAAATCATGAGAAGTGTATTCTGATGAGAAATCTTTTGGTTACAGTAAAATGCTTACAAAAAGCAAACTGTAGATTCATATTTGGGAGTTGCAACTCAGGTTCTGAGAGCAGCATTCATATTCTGAAGTAGTCATAAGGATGATGTCAAAGAGATTAACTTCTCACTAATGTACAAATGTCAAAATCCAAGCCTCAGGCTCTAGAGGAAAAAATTGCTTAATGGGACAAGATACTGAATTCTTAATAGTCCACTGAAAGCAATGTATGACAAAACATCTGAAAACCACATCATCCACACAGCAAGGAAAACCACAAACACTTAGCTTGCTACCACTTACACAGATAAAACCAAGTCTTCACCTGGGTCATATTTTTATTTCAAAATCCTGTGCTGTTGCATATAACAAATGGGAAAAATAATGAAGTGAAATGTGGAGATAAACTCATAGGAAAACAAGCTGCTAAAAAAACTATGAGAAATGTTCATGGAATAAAGCAGATTAAATTATTTGACAACGAAAGAATATGAGAAACAAAGACTATAACTTTATAATACAAAATTTTTCATAGGATTCCATGAATTAGGATTTGAAGTATCAGATCTGCTTATAACTTTTCTCAGTAAGAATGTATCATTTTGTTTGCAGCAATTTAGAGAAATACAGACTGTGCAGAATGACTAACAAGTGATGCTCAGAAGGCAGTAAAGCCAGCTGCTTACTGCCAAAATAGATTTGTCTTTTCCTAAAATTTAGCCCCTTTCATTTACCAGCCATTATTGAAAAGCATGATCTTGCTTTTGCTTCTTAGAGCAGATCTGGTTTTAAGCTCAGTTCCTCTGGAATAAAGCAGCAGTAATTATGAATAAATGCAGCTCCCCCTGATTTTCTGCCACACAAATATAACAGCATGCACTCTGTCTTTAGAAGGCTTCTAGAAAGGAAGGAACTGAAGTTATTTTTGTTTTCCTATCAATGTGTGTCTTCATAATCTATGAAGGATTGAACCTCTTGAGTAAGCCAAGCCAAGCCACTACTTCTATGTATTGGCAAAGAACAAGAATAAAACTGGAAAGTTTTAGGTATTTCAGAAAGTGATTAACAACCTTTTTTTTTTTAAAAAAAAAAAAAAAAAAGCAGCACTACGTTGACAAAATGCATCCAGCTACCTTCCTGGGTTTATCACATCCTGGTTGTATGGCTTCAGAAGAAAATTTACCGGGGGAGCTGTAAGGCTATCATCAACGACTTGCTTTAATTTAAAAGACCAGCAGGAAGAGCCTAGCTGAGTACCACTGCAGCACTAGAATTTGGAAATCATGTCTAATTTCCACTGGTGAGAGTTTCACTACTGAGTGCAATGGCACCGCAGTCACTCACTTGGTCAGTAAGGCCAAGCACACGTGAGCAAAGCAGCAAACCAAAAGGAAATTGAATCTCAACAGCCTTGGCTCACACAGAGATCCATTTAAGCTGTCAGTATATGGGTATATTCTTTTTATTGGCTGCCTTGTGGATTCATGAATGTTTAAAATCAAAGTAATTTAAACATGACATAATTGATCTGACTGATAGCCCTGGGGTCTAAGAAAAAAAAAAAAAAAATTAGGCAAGAAGATGATTTCTCTTTTCTTAAGGAGTAACTGCTAAATAACTTTTGGTGGAAAAAAATACTGCTACAAAGAAAACCTTTAGGAGGAATGTGAGTCTAATCAGTAAAAGGAGAAAAAAAGGTACTGAGAAGTTACAGGAGACTGGTGATAATAAAGTTTTTTGCCTTGAAAACTATCACATCCTGTAACTAGTCTTTGGTATTTAGGACATGTTAATCAGATTTCCAAAACTTTGTATGCTTCAAACCACCAGCTTAGTAGACAAAAAAAAAAAAACAAACAGGAAGATGAGAAAACTTACATTGTTCCATGAGAATTCTGCTGACTGAGGAAGAACTAGTAATTGCCCTGATAATTGAATCCATAACTTCTTCTGGCATCTTTTTTTAATATTTTATTTTATTTTATTTTATTTTATTTTATATAGCTACCTCCCACATTGATGGTGAGCAACGATTTATTTTTAGCAATGTCAACTCCAACAGTCAGCAGACGAGCTTTATACATCAAGACCCCCTCCCAGCTCTACTAAGTATGCCGACACACATGATTTTCTGTCTTTTGGGCATCTACTTTGCAATCTGAACCACAAATATGGGCTGGGCGGAGAAGACTGAGAGCAGCCCTGAGGAGAAGGATTTGGAGCTGTTGGTGGATGAGAAGCTTGACATGACCCAGCAATGTGCACTTGCAGCGCAGAAAGCCAACCATATCCTGGGCTACATCACAAGAAGAGTGACCAGCAGGTCAAGGGAGGTGATCCTGCCCCTCTACTCTGCTCTTATGAGACCCCACCAGAGTGTTCAGCTCTGGGGTCCTCAATATAGGAAGAACATGGAGCTGTTGGAGAGAGTCCAGAGGAGGCCACAAAGATGATCAGAGGGCTGGAGCACCTCTCCCATGAGGACAGGCTGAGAGAGTTGGGGTTGTTCAGCCTGGAGGAAAGAAGGCTCGGGGAAGACCTTATTGCAGCCTTCCAGCACCTGAAGGGGCCTACAGGAAAGCTGGAGAGGGACTGTTTACAAGGGCATGGAGTGATAGGACAAGGGGTAATGGCTTTAAACTGAAGGAGGGTAGATTCAGATTAGATATTAGGAAGAAATTCTTCACTGTGAGGGTCGGGAGGCACTGGAACAGATTGCCCAGAGAAGCTGTGGATGCCCCATCCCTGGCAGTGTTCAAGGCCAGGTTGGATGGGGCTTTGGGCAACCTGGTCTAGTGGAGGGTGTCCCTGCCCATGGCAGGGAAGTTGGAACTAGATGATCTTTGAGGTCCCTTCCAACCCAAACCATTCTATGATTCTATGATTCTATGATACTTCATGGTGACATTTAGAACCTGGAATCAGAAGTTGTTTATCATTTTCCACTGATTACAAAATGATTATTGCAGAGAGCGAAACTCATACATTCGTAACTGCTGTGGAGATATCCACATTTATCTACATTAATACCATCTTTTCCCTTATAAAAAAAAAAGTTACAGTCCTACTGTATTGAAAGAGAGAAAGAAGCCAATTGTGTTCATATATTGCATTTGCATCTGTTATTGGACACAGCTGGAGATGTTATCAAAATCTTAATGTACCTTTGCTCTGACACAGTATAGCCATTGTGTTCTTCTTTATAAGTACCAAATAAATATCTCAAAGGCTCCTGTATTTGTTATAGTTGCTGCTCTCAGTGCTTAAGCTAAGTGCTTGCTCCTGGAGGGAGGGTCAGTGCTTACACTGCAGAAGTGAGGAAGGGCCCACGTTTCACCAAAACCCTCACAGGAAGGAGAGGGTGGAATTTTGCTGTATTGCATACTTAATACATAATTAATACATACAGCTTAATGCTGTTCAAGATTGCCATGCTCTTTTTAGCAACTAGTAAAGTGTTAACTTTTATAATTTTTGTTTAGGCATGAAAAGGCCAATTAGTTGTTAACCGATAACAATAAAACCTGAAAACTCTGCAGAAATTATTTCCTTTTTCCGACATTTTGACTAGTCATTTGACAGCTTACCAAATGGAAGCTAAGTACCGGTGAAACGTGAAATCTGCTTGTAACAGTAAGGAGTCAGCAACTATCGAGAGGTAGCTTCTATCAGCCCAAGAATGAAAGTACTTTAAATAATTACCTGGGGTCCCTGGGGAGCATTCAGCATGCTTTATTGATCCTGGAAGATCTGTGAAATTTTGGGGAAGAGAATTCTTGGGTAGAAAGTTTTAATAATGTGGGAAAATAGTTGAGTTTGGACTCAAACCTAGGGTCAGACTTGAGCTTGCAACACTATATACAATTTCTTAGGAGCCTGAGTAAACCTGTGTCCAAATATCAGGAGTTGGTCTACTGAAATTTGCTTGGACTGGCCACATGGTTTGAACTGGGAGATATTTTTTATTGCTTATGTTAAACAACTAAGCCCTCTAATAGCTGACTATTTAGATTTATAAACATAATACATGTATTAGCTGTTAGAAAAAAATGCTTGCATAATAGCAATGACTATGTTGGCATTGTTCCCTGTTCAGTCTTGTGCAATGTTTTACAGCTGCTTAATCAAGAAATGCAAAATGCAGCTCACTCTTAATGTTCAACTGCCTGTATAAAATAAGGCACTTTTTAATCTTAAATTTTTCCATGTGTTTACAAGTCTTGCAAAATTGTACGTTGTCCAGAGAGGTTGTGGAGTCTTTGTCCTTGGAGATGTTCAAAACCCAACAGGACAGCCCTGGGCAACCTGCTCTCACTGACCTTGCTTTGAACAGGGAGCTTGAACTAGGTGCTCTCCACAGGTGCTTTCCAGCTTCAACTGTTTTATGATTCTGTGTAAAAGAGTTACATCTTTCTTTATAGACTATACTAATGTTTTATCCATCTATGCTGTAGCTCTATGTATCAAAGAAAGCAGAAATAGCCAATTCTACAGATATTAGATCTGCCCTGTGATGTCCATGAATAGTTCAGAGTGCCATTTCATGAATTAACTGATTTGGCCTAACTGAAGAATAATGAAAAATTGTTCCTTATCTCTTTGAACTCCTGTACTTGAGTGGGTATGTACTCACACTATTTATCTGTCTTGTCATGAAGAGGAGAAATGCTTAGCAACAATGAAAAAGTCCGCAGTTTCAAATGATCAGAAATCAGTTTCATGGATGTTGTTGAAATTTCTGTGTGTCTAAATCTCATAGCTTCTTTTAAAATCTTGGTTTACAGTCAGTTTTAAAAGTGAAACATAATTGCATCCTGTATCATGGATTGCAGTATTTAGGTGCAACTTACACAAAACAATAGTTCTTTGTTCTCCTACTTTTTGTCACAGGTACTTTGATGTAGTTCCTTTGGGTAGACTCTGCCCCCATTAAGTAATGATTAATTAAACTAATTAACTGTCATCCTATTTAAAACTAAACTAAGAAACATCTGAGAACTGATAAAATGAATCATTGTATTATTGCCTCTTTTAGGAGTTATGATAAAGAAAAGATATCTAAGACAGACTTACAGAGAGTGATCAAAAAATACTACCAACTATGGTCTTGATCCAATAAATAACAAAACACCCTTAATTTTCAAAGTATTTCTTACCACTGAATTTACTATCCTATGGTGATACAGAACCCTTGACACTGAAATTGTTGCTTAACAGTGAAGATTAGATGATATCGTGGCTATTGTCAAATGTATTAACGTACAAGCATTTCAGGAGTGGATCTCTTTAGTGCATATACAATCCATGTTCATGGCCAATGGTTTAAGGACTCTTCCTTTGGAGATGTTGTTCAAGGACTGTGGCTGCGACCGCTCCTTGCTATGGACCCAGACACTGGCTCTCTTTCTACTTACACTATTTCATGAATTCTTCTTTTACTCCTGACTTGCACTAATGCAAAACACTGATGCAAATGCTCTTTTAAAAAAAAATCAAATTATTAGATACTGGCTGTACAATTGTCAAACTTTGCTCTGTATTTGTGTACACCAGGGGTTACACAGAGCTTAGAAAATTTATAGAAATGACAGCTTCCCTCAAATGCCAGTAATGGGAGTGATTCAGAGCCATGACCTTGGACTATTTATAATATTATGTTTTCATATTCAGAAGAGTTTTCAGTAGAAACACACACTCCAGAATACCAGATACCTGCTGCAGAATACCTGTTCTCTGAAATGAATTTCATACCAGGGCAACTGTTAGACTTAAATGTTTTATTTATGCACAGAAACAATATAGCAAAGTTGCAAATACCCTATGCTGGTGCTTCAGAATCTCTCATCTTAGATCCAGAAGAGCTACTTCTAGCTTCATTCTCTGTAACTGGTGAGTCCTTGGCTTTGCATTAAGATCTTGAACATTGTTATTTTCATTTACTCCATGGGACCATGCATTTATCGGTTATTTAGACCCCATGACTTCATATAGAGATAGCTGGAGAGGGGCTTGTTCCTTTGTCCTGCAGCCTTGAGAGAGAAGCTGACCGTATGGTATGAAAAAGCAAATGAAAGAAGGGGAAACAGAATAAAATAACTAAAGTGTTGATGATGTCTTTGGGGGTTGGACATGGCCTGGATTTGGAAAGGCTATAGCATCTGTTCCCACATCTACCCCGGATATTCTTGCATAACTTCTTTTTTTTATGTCTGCTTCCTTAATAGTGATCAAGGGCAGAAATATTTATTTGCTTCATGAGGATATTGCAAGGAGATATGTATATCTCCATATATAAAAATATATTTGAAGAGCTCCTACTCTACTTGGGTGGCTGCTTTCAATAAATACATCCTTCTGTCTGCCACCTGGGTGATAAAGCTGTAGTGTTTAACTGAATGTGGTTGTATATATAGCATTCCTATTGATAAAAAAGCACAAAACAAATTATAAAATATGAAGACAGAATAGGGCTTGGTAGTAGAGTTTCTAACTGCCAACTGGAAGATACAACAAATATCTCAGTTTCCACCCATCTTCCATTAATTTCCACATTTTTTGTCCTCTTCAGATTCATCTCTAGGACTTGAGCTGGCTGCGTGATTGAAGATGAAATTGAAAGGAATCTGAAAATCATCAAAGGATTTTATTTCTCTGAATATAAGTCCCAACATAGTTGCTTCAAATACAGAAATACTAAACTGGGCCACAGAACATCTCTTGAATTTTATGCCCATCTGTAACACAGTGTACACTATTATAAAGAAAATCTTAGCCACTTTGCATACACTGTTGTACTTCAGCACACCCAAAGTGCCTGAGAAGAGGTAAAATTTGTTTGCTGTGTCACTAAGAGTTTGTAATTACTTCTAAAAGTCAGACTACACATATATAAAACCTGTTTTTTCCCAGTTTTTAGACTCTCAGAAATCGTTTCCTACTGAAATTTAAAAAGATCTAAGAATTACAATATTAGAATAGAGCCTCTGGTTTTGGTTACACCATAGTTATACACACAGATTGCTGGGTTTTATTCTCTGCTTCTTCATAGTTTGCCTTGTTTATTCTTATGCATAATAAACATGTC